GTATTAGTAGTGGTGGTAGTATTGATGTAGTGGTATCAGCAGCAGTCCTATTTGAATTATTCGTCGTTGTTCACGGGAGGTGTTCCACAGCTGCTTGGGATTTTGATTCTCATCCGCAGGAAGTGCACGCCCAGGGAGGTATGAACCCTCTCAGTTGTAGTTGTCATATCATTGGGTCGTCAATTGTGTTCGCGTTTGAGTTGCGCCCAATTTCTAGATCCTGGCTGTGGGGGAGGAGCTTTGTTTCGTGTGGCGGTTTTTGGTGTGCGAGAGTTGTGCATGAGAAGTTGGATCTTGCAGTTCACGCGCTCGACCATCCTTACGAGCGGGGCCTGGCGATGGAGAAACCGATGTGAGGATTGCTGGTGATTCGGCAGATAATCGTGAGCTTCGGCCGGGGGCATCGTTCGACCATGGGGCGTCGAGGCGCGCAGCGCCGTCCAGCAGGCACGAAATACGATCTGCGCGTGCCGCACGAAGGGTCGCATGATCAAGTCGTGCGTTGTGGCCTCAACACTTGCGACGTCTCGATGCCAGATCTGGATGGTCAGGCCTCAAGCGTGGCTCGGTTGCTGCAGTGGACGGTGCGCGATTAGAAGTTTAGCGAGTGTCGCCGCTCTCCTGGCATTCGCGGTTCGGCAAATGGTCCAACGATACGTGTTTTTCGTACGAGTCTGCAGACCCACGCGGGGCGCTTCAGGCAAGGCCTTCTCCTCCGCAGGGCCGGGAGGATTTGATTCCTCGCCCTCGGCGGGAGGGCGGCGGAAGGCGGGCGGAAGCGAAGCGAGGGCGGCTGCGGAGTCAACCTCGACAGGTTGTCCCTGGCGCCGCCCTGCCGTGCCCTCTTCGGCCGCGCCAGGCGCCGACGCGGAACTGAACCCGGACCAGAAGAAGTCGGGCACGGGCGCAGAGAGGCCGCCCTCGGGCCCCCGCGCACTGCCCCCACCCCCCCCCCCCCCCCCCCCCCCCCCCCCCCCCCCCCCCCCCCCCCCCCCCCCCCCCCCCCCCCCCTCCTCTCCCCCCCCCCCCCCCCCCCCCCCCACGGGCCGAAGAGGGCCGCGCGCAGGTGCGCCGAGGCCGCCTCGGCCATCCACCCCCCCCCCTCTCCCCCTCTTTCTTCCTCTTTTGTCTCCGATCCTCCGCCTCCTCCTGCTCCTGCTCCTCCTCCTCCTCCTCCTCCTCCTCCTCCTCCCTCCTCCCCTCCTCCTCCTCCTCCCTCCTCCTCCCCCTCCCCCTCCTCTCCTCTCTCCTCCTCCTCGCCTCTCCTCCTCCTCCTCCTCCTCTCCTCTCTTCCTCCCCCTCCCCTCGCAGTCGCTGCACTTGTTCGAAGTGTTCCTAGTCCTCCTCCTCTCCTCCTCCTCCCTCTCCACTTGTTCGAAGTCCTAGTCCTCTCCTATCTCTGTCTCTCTACATGTTCTTCCACCTCGTCCTCCGCCTGCTCCTCCCTCGCTCTCAACCCTTTATTTTTCCTCCTCCTCCTCCTCCTCCTCCTCGTCCTCCTCCTCCTTCTCCTCCTCCTCCTCCTCCTCCTCCTCCCCCTCCTCCGCCTCCCGCTTTCCCCAGCCCATTCTCCCCAAGAAGACTGCAGCACTTCTGCGGCCCGCGTGTGCCGCGGGCAGCGCACACTGTCACACGCGGCCCGATGGCGGACATCCCCCTGGGGACGCTTTCCTGCACTTATTTTCCCCACTTCTGCGTTGCGTCTGCGGGGTCTGCGAAGAGTGCGAGGGGAAGCCACAACGCACTGCGGCTGTGTAGCAGTGCGTCGATCTGTATCTCCACGAGCTTGTCTTCGGTGCAGATGCTCCTGCCTGGCTCGCTGCCCTGCATCTGGAGCTCCGCGGATCTTCTGCTTCAGAATGTGCGCCTGTGGGATACTTGCCATCCGCCAACGATCCGATTCGATGCGATTCGATTCGCTGGCTAAGGCCTGGATTCCGATTCGATTCGATTCGGTTCGATTCCTTGGCGTCGGGCACGGCTAGCCGGAGCCAGCCGCGGTGATCCGAGTTCGATTTAATTCGGGACGATTCGTCGGCGACCTGACTTGTTTTTCACCTGGTTCGAGTTCGCGATCCGCCCCAGCTCTGGCCTGTCTGGTATCTGCCGGCCGGCGGCGGCCGGCGGCGGCGGCATTGCTCGCCTCCCTCGCTCGGTGGTTCGAAGATGGGGGTCCTGGGGGATGGGGTCCTGAGGACGAGGTGCCACCCTTGGATTCCTTCTGATCCTCCGGACCTCGGCATCGTTTATCCGATCCCCATCGCCATCTCCATCCCCTTCGAGACCCCCACCAAATGACCGCCCCAGTTTGGGATACACCCCTCGGAACCCGAAGAGAAAGACCTATATCCCCTTCTGAGGGGGGTAAATCGGCCAGCGGGGCCCAGGCCACGCCGCTGGGCCTCGGTTCCGCGAGCCCCCGTGCCCGTGCCTGCGCGTGCAATTAGTGCGGGGGGGGGTGGCGCGGTTGGAGGGTCCTCCTTCTGGTCCTCCTCCTCCTCCTCCTCCTCCTCCTCCTCATCTTCACGTCCTCTGCCCTGCTGCTGCTCCCTCGGCTCCGCGAACCCCCGTGCCTGCGCGCGCAGTGCAGGGGGGGGGGTGGCGCGGCTGGAGGGGGAGAGGCGTGTGGCCTCGGAGTGCTGGGTCGCCAGGCGTTCCGGCGAGGTCTGCAGGCAGTCCTCCTCCTCCTCCTCCTCCTCACGTCCTCTGCCCTGCTGCTGCTCCCCATCCCTCCGAATGCCAGTCGCCGTTTCCTCGGGTCTTCGAATGCGTTGCAGCCGCAGGGGCTGAATGATGGCAGATAGGGGCGCTCCTGCTGCGGGGATCGTCCGTAAGTCGATGTCGTAGGATGCGCACGGCAGGTCGAACATATGGAGATGTCTCCTCAGAGTGTCGGCAGATCAGCGTGCGATGACGATGCACCAGCATTGCCACTTGCTTCCCTTCCTCGTCCCTCTCTTGTTCCGTCCACTCCTTTGCTTCCTCTTCTTCTTCTTATTCTTCTTCTTTCTCCTTCTCCTCCTCCTCCTCCTCCTCCTCTTCCTCCTCGTCCTCATCATTACCAGCATCATCTTCATCACCATCGTCGTCGTCATCATCATCATCATCATTACCAGCATCATCAGCATCATCATCATCGCCCTCACCATCACCATCACCATATGATCACCATCACCACCATCATCACCATCACCATCACCATCATCATCATTATCCTCCTCCTCCTCATTATCAATATCATCATCATGATCATGATCAGGATGACCATGATGATGCTCACCATCATCATGATCATCGTCAATATCGTCACCATCATCATGATCACAATCATGATGATCATGACCATCATGATCATTATCATCATCATCATCATCATC